AGGTTCTTCAGATTCTAAAAAGGTAAGAAAGAGATGGTTCTTTGTGGAACCAAAAATGGTTCTTATATGGCATCGCTGTGAAGAACCTTTTGAGCACCTTTATTTTTAAGAGTGCACTGGAGATATGCAAAATTAAATCACTGTCCAATAGGCCAAAAACATTCTTCATTAACAAAATAACGACTCGCATCAAAGCGTGAGAGTGATTTTTGTCATTCACACTCCAGTCCCACTGACAGCTTAAAGGCTCTTTTTGGGCTTTCTGAAGGATGTGGACCGTAAGATTAAACATCAGGCTCATCTAATAACCACCAGCTGGTGCTCATGTGCTCTTGGCATCCTGTCATGTGACTGTCCTGTCATTCCCAGCCCTGCCAAGACTCTACTTAACACGCGCGCGCACACACACACACACACACACACACTGAATACTTTCCGTACCCACTGTATATATATATTTAATTAATTAATTTTATGCATTTAGCAGACGCTTTTATCCAAAGCGACTTACAGCGCTGCTAACGCAATGCTCTACCACTGAGCCACAGGAACTAATATATATATATATATAAAAAGCTTTAATAAGCACTCTCAAATTTGCAGACATTCAAATATGGTGCATTAAGACATGTCTCAAGTTTAATGTAAGTGACATTAAATATTATTGGCCAAAGTGAATTAACATTATTGAAGTATGATGTTAAAGACATCTGATGAAATTAATTGCCTTTTAATTGCATGGAAAAACATGGATATTTTGCAGGAAAAAAGGAAGAAAGAAATAACAGGTTTGGAATAACGTGAGGTGAGAAAATGACAACAACAACAACACATTAATTTTGGGGGGTTGAAATGTTCCTTGAAGTCTCAAACTTCAGTCAAACTTGTACAAAGGGTGTCAAATTCAGAATACCATTGTGATCATGGTAAATTGATTCAAATAATAGATCAATTCTGAGTCATAAACATATGTCTTACACGCTACTTACAGTATTTCCCCAGTTAAGCAAGAAAGAATGGAAATTGGATCATTCAGAAAGGAAATGATCCCAAAACCAGACATTCCTGACAGGTAACCTGATCTGGGAGTGAAGCAGTGTATTTCCACAGGTGAGGCTGGTAAATTCCCAGGTAACTTCTTCCCAGTGTTGGGGGTAAGGCATTTACGTAATCAGATTACTTTTTTAAAGTAACTAGTAAAGTAACGCATTACTTTTTACAGCTACTGACCTTCGATGATCAAATTCAACCATACTAATAAGCAAAAATCACACATTTGTGTTTCATTTTTGTTATTGCTGAATAGTGTTGAATTTTCTTCTCCTGCGTCATATTCTTCATGCAATTTGTTTGAGTTTCATTTGCATTCTCTAGAACAGGCAGGAAAGTCCAATAAGCCCATTTAAATGATCTGAGATTTGTGGAAAATTCTTCTCAGGACAGATTTAAGGAATTATTTAAACAAAATTTCTCACTCTCATGTTCCAAATTCCAAATGTTTTTCCATGCAACACAAATCACAAATTTGCAGAATGTTCTTCTGCTTTGCATGCAACGAAAGTGAACGGGGCAATAAAGCTCATAAAATACACACTTGTGCAGTATATTCCAAGTCTTCTTAAGTTATATGAAAGGTTTGCATGTGAAACTGACTGATATTCAAGTCTATATACATATATATACAGTGGGTACGGAAAGTATTCAGACCCCCTTAAATTTTTCACTCTTTGTTATATGTAAAGCATTACTTTTCATAAAAAGTAACTGAGGTAATTAGTTACTTTTTAGGGAGTAACGCAATATTGTAATGCATTACTTTTAAAAGTAACTTTCCCCATTTTCTTTTTGATCAGATTCAGGTCACAATTATACTGAGATGGCTAGATCTGCTCTAGGATTGAGCCACGTGTGTGTTCAGATACACAACCCCATGAACAGCAGCTGTTTATCACTAAACACACATTATTATGACTAACATAACTACACTACATATACAGTATACGCAACATACATAACATGCATATGAGGTCAGTGTTACATATTGAATATTTATACGTGAATACACTACGCCAAAATGTAAGTCTTAATTAAATAAACGCGTTGACAAGAGGTTATCAAACAGTTAACATCACCTCTTGAAGAGTTTTACGTCGTGAAAAGCTTTACAATAACATTCGCACTTACCAAGTCAGTGATCTGAACGTCTGCTGATCTCTTCGGGTTTTCTTTTTCGAAAATATCAAACCAACTGAGAACAAGTTTAAGTGCGTGGTACTTTTGAAGCGATGGACACTTTGTTTCCTAAAGTTGCTCCCACACCCACATGCAGTGACGCAACACTTCCGGTGCTGCCGCAGCGCCAATCCTACGCGACCCTGGCTAAGCTCATGAATATTAATTAGGTAGCGCTGACGCTGCTTAGAGACCTTCCTGGAGAGACCACCGCGCAAGTAGCGTAATTAATATTATTATGAGCCCAGCCTCCACCATGCAAATTATCAGGCTACTTTGGCCAATCGGAAAGGACTATTGGGCGAACGTCACGTTGCGTGCTTAATATTCATGAGCTAAGCCTTCGCCACAGTAGGATGAGTTCGCTCGCGCCAGCTCTTCTGTTCAGAATGCACGAAAAAAATTTAAATTAATTTTAACTAGTGGCAAGCTTTGGCTGCATCTAAAATAATGTTTAAAATATGTACAAATTGTGCAATGGGCTCTCGAGCTCTTTCAAAACTGTAAGTGTGTGTGTGTAGTGACATCTGGTGGTGTAAAATGTCAAAGGTACATGCAAATGTAAAATTGTTAAAAACAATTGCTGTTGAAAAGTTTCAGTCTCTTTGCTTCTTAATATACTGTGTGGCCTTCTTAAGCATTCATGAATGTTTGCATTTTATGTAAGAGATAATGAGTCCCAAATCTGGATCTGGAATAAAGAAAATCTTTATTCCTTTTATTTGTATAATTATATATGTACATTTTGTTTGTAAATATTATTTTTATATTTCATATATGTATATATATATATATATAATTTGTAACGTTTTCATTTTAACAAAATTATTTTATTATTCTTTATTTATTGTTTTTTAAATAATAAACAACTTGCAGATTCTACAACGATGCAAGCTTAATAATTTTTCAATGTAATTTAATCATTTTCATTTTGCTTTTTGTTTAAATGTTATTACCATTACTTATTTTATTATTTTAAATTTTTATTTATTTATTTGTTTGTACATGATAAACATCTGCTGTCTGTCTATAGTGGGGTCGTTCGGGGTGGAGGGGAACATAAAGTATCATTATATGCGGAGGATTTATTATTATATATTTCCAACCCATCTAAATCTATTCCTGAGATAATTGCTGCTTTAAAGACATTTGGACAAATATCAGGGTATAAACTTAATATGGGAAAACATGTACTATTTCCAATTAACAATCTAGCAGATTGAAACTTAAAACTTCAACCCAGTTTAAATACTTAGGGATAAATATCACCAAACCATGTGTGGGTCTGTATAAAGAGAATTGTTCACAATTACTGGATCAAATAACACAGGATCTACAGAGATGGTCTCATATCGCTATCTCATTAGCTGGAAAAACTAATTTAATAAAAATGACCACCCTTCCAAAAAAATTTATTTCAGTGTATACCAGTAAATTATCAACATCTTGCAGATTCTGAAATAATACGAGCATAATTCAATCATTTTATTTTTAAATGTTAACTAATTTTTATCATTGTATTTTTACACTATTTATTTATTTTAAAATGATAAACATCTTGCAGATTCTAAAAGGAGGATGCAAGCTTAAATTAATAATTTTTTTTTAAATCAATAATTTTGTTTTATACATTTTTTAGATTTTGGTGTTAATTTTTAATTGTTATAATTAAAAAAAAAAAAAATGCATAGAATGGTGTAGAATCTTTTAGTTTATTTGCATTGTTAATTATTAAGGCTCTTTTAGTAACACCATTGACAAAGTGCATGGGAATAACAAGCATTTAACACCGAGCCACATTCAGACTCTCACACAGAATCTTGTTGGACGTCAGATGCATCTTGCTGTGCTTGTTGGCTAGTTTCCGCTCTCTGTTCTTCTGGGTCAGACTTGAGGTCTTGATCTGGTGCAGAGGTTTTCTGGGTGCCTCAACTATTTATTTTTATTTTTATTGAACAGTATCAATTTACACACTCAAATGGGGAACAATAAAATGCATATGACAAAATATACACTTTACCAATCACATCTCCATCATACATAAATGTCCATGTGTGTATATATATATATATCTCTCTATATACAATTGGGTGCCTCAACTATAGGCCTGTAGATATACACACCTCCCACCACTCCAACCAGAGTAGCAAATGCAATCTGATTAAAGGGAATCCGTCTTCCAAACATGATCTTATGTTATGAAGACACAAAACATCCCACTGAAAAGAAAAAAGCAGAAAGAAAAGCTTATGAGATACTACCAACCTGTTCTGGAGCCATTGCATTTTGTATGCATCAGATATTGAGTTGTATACTTGCTGTTTACAGAATTTTAAGTATACATAAATGAAGTACACTGCACAAATAGCCTACTATATGTACATTGCAGCATATCAGCGTGTATTATTGACCAAAGACTTAGGTGACGACGATATTCACTTAAATGGGCGAGGAACGTCATAAGCTCTTAATTTTGTAATTAATATTTCCCTCACTCACCCTGAGGTTTTCAGTCGTTTATTATAACTGAGTAGTGTGAAAAGTGTGCAGGACAAACGACACATGCATATGAAGTACGTTTTCGCATTTCAATTTTTTTCAACATAAATTAATAATAAGATGTGTCGGAACCCATTTACATGAATCACGAAACACATCTTAATGAACTTAAAATTATTATAAACATACATTTTTTTTAGCGTTGTTTTTTTGTTGTTGTCCTTATTACATATTCATGAGGTCCCGCGTGACGTCACCACCCAAACACGGAAATAGACTTTGTTTCCACATTGAATGCACAGCAACTCTCAGCAAATGCGCCTCAAAATGAACACATACAGTTGGAGTTAAAATGCTGAGGCTCACGTGGAGACATGGAGAAGACTCGAGAGCGCTTCAAGCAGAACAAGCCCTCGTGTGAATCACTGAGGAAGAGGAGCTGCATTCTGTACAGCACAGATATCATCACAACACCTCAAACACTCAGTGAGACTTCTGGTCCTGCCATTATTAGACTCACTTTAGAGCTGAATGTGTTTTAATGAGAAGACAAAAGTAGTATTTAGTAATCTTTCAATAACACTAACACTAAAAGTAGAACTAGCATTACTAGTAAGTAACATGAATATTCAGATTTCTTTGCGTAATGTAATATTAATAAAAAAAGTAAAGATCTTAAGCAAGTTCGTGTAGATTTTTCTTTGCATTATTAAATTATATTATTAATCATGAAATAGACAGTGCTGCTCACAAACATCATGTTTAGGTCCTATTTAACCCAAAATCAATAGACATGAGACAATAAATAAAATTGTAAATATAAAGATAAATGCATTTTTTTTTATTAAGGGCTATTAATTATTATTTTTTTTTTTTGCATTGTGACATTATTATTATGAATATTAAGTGGATTTACCCCCAAAATTCTAATTTCAGTCTGCTAAAAAAATATTTCAATTATAATGTATTAATGATCATATTTTTTGAACTGAAGGCAATAGCCTACTTTTAATCAAAAGACTTTAATGAATACTATAATTAATTTATTATTTATATCATTATTATTATTTGAATTTAACCAAAACAAAAATGAACACTTGAACCAAAAATGAAAAGTAAAACATCCATTATATTAATCAGCAGCCACCTTGCTTTGATGATTTTGCCGTCAGCCATTAAAACACATGAATCACTACTATCTATACATGCAAAGATTAGAAATGTGTGCTAACGAAGTGATTTCTGCAGAATTCTTTGGCATCAGCATCACAGTTTTCTCGGTCGTATTCCGCCTGCTCAACTGTGTCCTGCTCCAGACCAGCTTCGTCCCGGATGAGTACTGGCAGTCGCTGGAGATTCCCCATCGAATGGTCTTCAGATATCCTCGTTTATGCACTGAGCTGTTTAGTTTGAATATAATACTCTGGGGAAAAATGTGCAAATGAGATCCTTAACATATTTCTCACTTATGGCTATGAGACGTGGGAATGGAAGGAAGGCATCCGGGGATATTCTTATCCTCTCCTCTTCGCTCTGATGTACAAACTCCTGCATCTGATGAATTATGACACAGTTTATTTATTGGTAAGACTTCAGTGCATTATATAGGCTAGACAGCAGGTCTGATTGTTCTCTAACATGAATACCGGTTCCTGCAGGTGTTTGTGCCGCGTGTTTTCCATGCGCTGCTGGCTGCGTGTGCAGACGTGATGCTGTACAACCTCGTCCTGCGGTGGGAAACTCCAGATGTGGCCAAATGGACAGTAAGACGACAATCTTAAAGGAATACTTCACCCAAAAATGAAAATCCGCTGAAAAATGTACTGTCCCAAGATGTAGAGGTTTGGAGGTTTGGAGAAATGTAGCACTGCATCAGTGTCTCAGCAATGGATGCTCTGCAGTGAATGGGTGCCGTCAGAATGAGAGTCCAAACAGCTGATAAAAACATCACAATAATCCACACCACTCCAGACCAACATCTTGTGAAGTGAAAAGCTGTGTGTTTGCAAGGAACAAATCCATCATAAAGACGTTTTAACTTCAAACGGTTGCTTCCGGCTAAAACATGAGTTCATAATCCATAATAACGCTTCCTCCAGTGTCTCATCTGAGTCAGGAGAGAAATATGCACACATTGAGCTCTGTTTACAAGCCAGAAAAGTCCAAAACCATTCGAAACAAATAAGTGAGTGGATTTTTTTGGCTTGTAAACGGTGTTTGCTCTGTGCATATTTCTCTCCTGATTCAGACCAGACAACTTTTCAATGGAGAAACTATTATTGATTAAGGACTCGTATTTTAGCCGGAAGCAACAGTTTGAAGTTAAAAGCATCTTAACGATGGATTTGTTTCTTACAAACACACAGCTTTTGTCTTCTCCAGATGTTAACTGATGGACTGGAGTGCTGTGGATTACTTGTGGATTATTGTGATGTTTTTATCAGCTGTTTGGACTGAGGGTGAGCACATTTCCAGCTAATGCTCATTTTTGGGTGAAAAATTCCTTGAACAATCACATGCATTCACAAGCTTTCTAAGAAAAGCTCACACTGCAGAGCATCCATTGCTGAGACACTGATGCAGTGCTGCATTTCTACAAATCTGATGAAGAAACAAACTCATCCTAATCTGGGATGGCCTGAGGATGCACACATTTTCAGCAGATTTTCATTTTTGGATGAACTGTTCCTTTTATGATATTATGCAGATACACAATCATTAATTAGAATGCTTTCGTGCTGGTTTGACAAAATTATTTTATTATTCTTTATTTATTGTTTTTTAAATAATAAACAACTTGCAGATTCTACAACGATGCAAGCTTAATAATTTTTCAATGTAATTTAATCATTTTCATTTTGCTTTTTGTTTAAATGTTATTACCATTACTTATTTTATTATTTTAAATTTTTATTTATTTATTTGTTTGTACATGATAAACATCTGCTGTCTGTCTATAGTGGGGTCGTTCGGGGTGGAGGGGAACATAAAGTATCATTATATGCGGAGGATTTATTATTATATATTTCCAACCCATCTAAATCTATTCCTGAGATAATTGCTGCTTTAAAGACATTTGGACAAATATCAGGGTATAAACTTAATATGGGAAAACATGTACTATTTCCAATTAACAATCTAGCAGATTGAAACTTAAAACTTCAACCCAGTTTAAATACTTAGGGATAAATATCACCAAACCATGTGTGGGTCTGTATAAAGAGAATTGTTCACAATTACTGGATCAAATAACACAGGATCTACAGAGATGGTCTCATATCGCTATCTCATTAGCTGGAAAAACTAATTTAATAAAAATGACCACCCTTCCAAAAAAATTTATTTCAGTGTATACCAGTAAATTATCAACATCTTGCAGATTCTGAAATAATACGAGCATAATTCAATCATTTTATTTTTAAATGTTAACTAATTTTTATCATTGTATTTTTACACTATTTATTTATTTTAAAATGATAAACATCTTGCAGATTCTAAAAGGAGGATGCAAGCTTAAATTAATAATTTTTTTTTAAATCAATAATTTTGTTTTATACATTTTTTAGATTTTGGTGTTAATTTTTAATTGTTATAATTAAAAAAAAAAAAAATGCATAGAATGGTGTAGAATCTTTTAGTTTATTTGCATTGTTAATTATTAAGGCTCTTTTAGTAACACCATTGACAAAGTGCATGGGAATAACAAGCATTTAACACCGAGCCACATTCAGACTCTCACACAGAATCTTGTTGGACGTCAGATGCATCTTGCTGTGCTTGTTGGCTAGTTTCCGCTCTCTGTTCTTCTGGGTCAGACTTGAGGTCTTGATCTGGTGCAGAGGTTTTCTGGGTGCCTCAACTATTTATTTTTATTTTTATTGAACAGTATCAATTTACACACTCAAATGGGGAACAATAAAATGCATATGACAAAATATACACTTTACCAATCACATCTCCATCATAATGCAGATACACAATCATTAATTAGAATGCTTTCGTGCTGGTTTGACTCAGTTCTGCTGTGTTTTCTCAGTATTTCTGTCAGCTGTGTTCATGGTTCACCTGGTTCTGCTGCAGCCGGACTCTGACCAACACTATGGAAACGGTTCTGACCACCCTGGCGCTTTGCTTTTACCCTTTACCCGGCTCCAAAACACACAACAGGTGGGTCATTCTTTGTCAACTCAACCAGAAGTCCCCGGCTCAAATTTTTGATTTTGCTAATATTTTTTCTGAAGAAAGATAAACATGTATAGTGATGAAAGCCAAAATATTAAATGTCATGGATAAATATTTACGGAGTAATCCACTGTTTTGTAGAGGAGGGTCAAAATGGCAATTTTCACCTGAGATTCAGAGCCAAATTACAGGGGGGTAAAAATAACTTTAGAAAGATGGCAGCATCATAATGTTA